ACAGACAGACACAGACACACAGAGTCCCTGGAGTGTCCTCAACAATCAACGCTCAACTGCAATAAGCTGAACCCAACAACAGCATGTCTGCTGCTCAATCTCTGCTTGTGTGAGCGGTAACTGAGCACTTGAGTGTGTATTAACAACGTGTGTTTGTGTACGAATATGTATGCAGTCATGTGTAAAATTTGCATGTTGAGTGCATCTGTACGTGCGTGTGTGTGTGTGTCTCTGATGACAGCAGGCTGATTAAGCTGTTGCATAGTAATGAGCTATGGTTGTCTGTCTGGCAGCTGCTCTGACAACCTCTTTTCACAACTAGCCCTCCCACACACAAGTACGCGCACACACACACACACACACACACACACACACACACAGGCATATAAGTGCATGCACCGCAATTCTGAAAAAGCATCAAAGCTGACAACTGCACCGATGTGTTGTTATTGTTGCTGCTGTAGTTAAATCACTGGGGAAGTTGTGATAATGCAGGAGAGGGTAATTGGTGATACATTAAAAAGAGGTAGAACAACATCCACTGTTCCTCATAGCCGGAGCTACACTTCCTCTGCTTCACCCTTTGTTGTGTTTTCATCCTGATAATGACTGCCACTCAGGAATAACAGTCATTTCCTGCCTCGAATCACTGATGTCAGGACAAATATCAGCCGCAGCACAGAGGGCATCGAGTGTGTGCACCTACATGCTGTGTTTTTGTATGCTTGAGTACCTGTGTGTGTGTGTGTATTACAGGCATCTAGTGCCCCCCCCCCCTTCCCGCCCCTTCCAACCCCCGTCTGTTACAAATATCTCCGGGGCAACAAGATGGATGTTTGTGCTTAAAGAGCAAGCCGTCCCTCTCCCTCATTTTAACAGAGGTCAGTGTCAACACCCGGGCAAAGAACGTGGAGACTGAAATGCAACTGTTCGGAGGAAATGAGAAAAGAGGATTTAGAGGGGTTGAGTTGGTTGAACACACGAATAAAGTGACCGGAATATCTTTTGCACAAAACCATACAGAATTATCACCAGAAAACTACAAGAAAAAGCTGTTTGCTGACTGCCTGAGTGCATATGGGATGCTAACAGTGGGAAGGGTTAATCTAAAGCTAAAAACACACAATTATCCTATTCCATTGTCTCATGCCACAGATACACTAATTGCTTAAAGGGTGGCGAGATTAAACAGCTCCTCATTCTGCCAGGGAGGGCAACCCCTGAGTCCCTAAGGACCCCCCCCCCCTTTAGGCCCCGCTAAAGCAAAAAGAGACCAAAAGGTAATGTATATATTCATCGCCTTACCTTGTTGATGTCCCCTTCCTGACATCACACATCATGCACTTAAAAGCTTCTGCCGTGTTCTTGTATGTGCATACGCTGCAGTCCCAAAACCCCTCGTCGGAGGAGGGCTTCGGTTGACGCTTCGGCCTTTAAAACAATAAATGTGAAAACAAAAAAAAAAAACAAAAAA